AGAGAGGAAAACTACAGGTGTCAGTTCTCTTGTTCCTGTCTGAGAGCTTTAAAAACAAGACAGTTCGTTCCAATAACTTGTTTGCGACTGTCTCCGACTTTTGACCGACATCACACCTTTCTCATTTCAGACAGAAGATAAAAAATGCATAATTACTTTGTAACATAGACATTTAACTTGATTTCTACTTTGAATGAGGATTAAAAAAAATCATTAATACTGTTTCACAGTTGATTTAAAATGAGTGGTTCACTTCAACATTTAAAATGGTATGAACTAAACACACTTTTGATTATCAAGATATTGTAAAATGGTAATGATAATATGAAAAAGAGAGTGTTCTTTCAATTGATTAGTTCAGGATACAATTAGAAAGTCTCTGGATGAGCCAATTTGCATTTCTGGATTCAAATCAATCAAATAACAGTTCCTGTCCCATGAAGGTCTTCAGAGGCAGGTTTGACCGGAGGCCGAGTTCACTACAGTCCCCCCTTTAGAAATCATCGCCTGTCCATGGGGATGAATTCCAACATGAACTTACGCCTCCGAATGTCCTTGAGCATGATGTAATCCAGCAAGAGGAAAACAAAAGTCAAAGAAGGTAATCCCACAACGGTTTAGGTAATTCCACAATGTTGTTGGTAATTCCATAATGTTGTTGGTAATTCCATAATGTTGTTGGTAATTCCATAATGTTGTTGGTAATTCCATTGTAGCAATGTTTTAACCCCTTGGAAACAAAGTCTGTAATCCATTGGAAAAAGTCATATAATCCACAACAATAAATCTACAACGATTGGAGGTGTTGATTGATCAGCATACAGAGGGGTTCCCTTGACTGAACCGCAGAGGCGACCACTGGATGAAGATTGGAGACCCACGTTGGAGTTGTAGGTCCCTTCAGCGCAGGTTGCTGCTGGTGGTTCCCAGTGGGTGCCATTCTGGTTCTATGTGTTATGCATTTATGTGGTTTTAGTTGGGCTTATGAGTGGGATTTTACATAAGACCATAACCTATATGCACCTGGTGTGTAAGCTGTCATGGTTTAGATCAGCTAGTTACCAGTTTAAAAGGGTGGGTCATGCTGAAAAATTTTCATATAGGGATTTATACCTATAGAAGGGCATTCCAAACTATTTTTCCATTCCTAACTTGGTTTAAGTTAGATTTACATGGCAAAATATTGTTTGGTTCAATTGTCTCTTTTTCTGTCCACCACTCACTAAGACCTCTAGAGGAAATAAATATTTTCTCACGGTAACCTGCGCGTTTACCAAATGGGTAGAATGTCTACCAGCCCCTAATGACACAGCACAAACCACTGCTATGTTATTAATGAATCATGTATTTTCAAGGTTTGGACTTCCCCTTAGGGTGAACTCAGACCAAGGTACACACTTCACAGGTGAAGTAATGAAGGAACTGTGGAAGACGCTAGGCGTCAAAGCCAACTTCCATATTGGCTACCATCCACAGGCTTCAGGCCAGGTTGAGAGAGCAAACAGGACGGTGGTGAGTATTTTGAAAAAATACGTAGCCGCAAACCACAAGGACTGGGACGTGAAACTCCCTCTGGTCCTCATGGCCATAAGGGCCACTCCACACAC